TTTAATTGGAAGCACAAGGAATGTATTTACCGATGTGTACAAATCCCTCTCATTAGAGCAAATGTGCACAAAAGAAAGCATATGGGTGTGGCATTCGCATTTCTGTAATTTTGCGTGACAAATTTAGGTGAAAGGAAGGCTCTAAGGAATAAATGTTGCAGGCTACTTGACTGTTTTACTTACTTCTTCGGGATTATGACGCAATTCCGGCGGCAGATCTTCCTCATCCTCAGATTCCGAACTCATCTGCGATTTCATAGTCACTTATGGATCTTTAAAACTGAGCACTTTCAAGAGAAAACGATTTTATTTCAAAATATATTCTAAAATATACTAGGCGACTAAAACCGGCAACGGACCAGGCGGGTGGGGATGAAGGGTAACAGGAATACTAGTCATATATATCATGTTTGTCACAAATATACTGAACAATGTCCAAAGGTGTGATAAACCTTTGAGCGTCTGAATCGGGGATTTCAAAGACGAATTCTTCCTCCATCGCCATTACGACTTCCACCATGTCCAGGCTGTCAAGACCAAACTCTCTCTTCAACTCCGACTTCAAGTTCAACTGCCGAGCGGGACATTATAAAAGTCATGGAAACTTACTTTCTCTGCGTCTATTTTGTCGTATAAGCGTAAGATGAGAAGGACTCTGTCCTCAATCATTGGTTTTGTTAGAGGTGGGCCATGACCGAAGCGGCGACACGGGTTCACAAGAAATTTAGAAAAAGGTCCCGTATTTATCTGCCGGAAAGTGCGGTGGGTGAGCAGAAGAGTCTGATTTAGTTTCTAAGAGGGTTAAAACGTATTTGATGCTTACGGACTGGGCTTGTCTTGCTAAGGACAACGATTTACAGAGGGAGGCTAGTCTCAGAACAGAAGGGTTCATCTCCGCGGCAGAACTACCCCGAACGGTATTCGCAACTAAGTCTCGCTTTCAAAGCCCGCGTGTGCGGTCAGCATAACAAAACTAGTGGCGGCATACTTCGACCCTGGTTTTACATATAATACGTACACTTCTATAAAGTTGTTCAAAACCTTAAAGTAGAATTTAACCGTTAAAGGACTGCAGAAACTGTCTCGGCATTCTGCAGTCTGTGGGTGGCTAGTGTCACGCGTAGAAGTCAGAGTGTTCCTGAAAACCGATGAGAAAATCGGTGCGCATCACATGCAATTTTTCCTTAAAATACCCTCCGCTAATCTGACAAAGATTTCACTGAAGGTCGGGTAATCCGTATAGTAACAGAGTAACATTCAGTAAAGCATAAAAGTCGGAAGAAGCAAATTTGGTCAAAACATAATTCCACTGGGTGTCCTAAAAATACGTATACACATTTGACATAATTGTAAAATTGATGTTTATCATAATTTTATTATTTCAATAGTGTAAAGATATCAACAAGTATAATTTTATTGTTTTTACTGAATTTTCTCAAACTAACGTCCATTTCGATCATTACACTGCTTATAACACGAAGCAATGGAATAAGTCACTTTAAGCCACTTTATTAAGGGAAAAAGGCTTTCAACCTTGAGCTTCCTATTCATATTCGAAAATTGCAAAAGAGTTTAACCTTAACAGTAGTACATAGTACAAATTTAAGCTTAACAGTTTCTTAGCAAATGTGAATCAAGTTGGCGTTTAAAAATATCCATGGCATCTGAGAGGACCAACTCGTCAGGGTGTCCGTTTCACGCTCCGATGACCCTCTGCGAGAAGGCGTGTCGTCGAACGTCAATATGGGCCGGTGACCTATGCAGTTTTAAGGGATGACCCCGCAGATGATCCGTCCAAGCCAATGCGAAGAATTCATCAA